AGTTTCAAGAAGAAAGGGTGGCTAGTGGAATTCCCGCGCCCCCTCTCTTCTCATACACACACACACACACACACACACACACACACACTTGGCTCTGTCTGGCTGTCGCGCCTTTTCTTTGAAGTTGGGCAGATTGTGTGGTGGTGCCCCACCGAGATTCACCGACGCGAAAGAGCGAACAGAGAAAAGTGAGGGGTAAAAGAAACGGGTCCTCGGAGGCGGGGAGCAGCCAAACAGAGAATGCGCCGAGTGCAAAGGATGCCAATTGAGACCCGAAAACCGGAAGAAACCACCGCAGGGACGGTCGAGAATAAAAGAAGGACAATCAGACTTGGTTTCGGTGGACGACCGTCTCAATTCGAGGTGTGTGAAGGTGGGAGGATGAGGGCCGAGGCCAAGGTGCACGAATAAAAATAAGGTCGGTCGGTCAGGATTTAAGGGTACGTGCACCGAGCACCGGAGAGGGAAAGAGCGAAGAAAGCACGGGCCAGGACCCCCGGTAAGGTACGGCGCTGGGAATTGAGATCGGGAGGTGAGGTGGTACTGAACCTCTGGTCAGGTATGGATGGAGTAGTGTGGTAGTGAACTGGTGGTTGTGGTGGAGGTGGTAGTGGATTGTTGTCACTGGTGCTAGGTACCCCTACTTCGTAGTGTAAACCCCTCTTCAAGATGTCGTTTTGTGTGGATTTGGATGTTGTGGTGGGAGAAGAGAAAGGCGACGGTGTATGGATACTTCTGCCAAGGTACCGATTAGTCCAGGCCGGGATGGGGATGGGAACGGGTGAAGGGGAACGGAGAAAGTTGGGCGTGGGTGGAAAAGAGAGACATACATACATACAGTCTGGATGGACGGATGATAATCTGTTAACCGGGCCGGTACAACTAATCTCGCTCGACTTTCTTGCAGTGAGAGATACACGGGAAGTAGATAGCGGTTAAAAAGGCACCTGAGGGTACTGAGTATCGTCGACTGAGGTGAACCAAGTGACTTGCAGAGGCGTAGCACAAGGTAGGAGAGAGAGGGACGAGACTGAGAGACGAGAGAACCCTGCGACAGGGATTGTGGATGTTGTGGATGTTGTGGATTTTGGGTTCAGAGAGTTCAATGCTTGGGCTTTGGTGCTGAGTGAGTGATCCAGGTGAGGGTTGTGACTTTTATCGAGCGGGTCTGGGTCCGGGTTTCGGTCTGATGTTTTTTGTTGCCGCTGCTGCTGCTACTACTGCTGCTGCTTGCCGATGCTGAGCGGTTTTGCTCTGAGCCTCTGTTACTCTGTAGTCGGCTGTCTCTCTATGTTCTGCTCGCCGGGTAACAAGGTCCAAGGTATATTGGAGATGCTCGTTGCTCAGGTTCTGTCGGTTTTTACTCTCAGCTTGCTAAGAAAGGGAGTTAGAGAGCGAGACAGAGAGACGGAGAGAACGAGCCAAGACGCGTGGTAGGTAAAGAAATCCCCGCAGAGTCGAGTCCCCTGGTCCTTTCCTCAGGTTTTCTGAGTCGTTGCAATGGCAGGTGTGGATATCTCAAGAGGACCGGGTTCCTCTTCTTTCCCAGCATGACGCTTCACCAAAGTCTCCATCCGTAGATGAGTGTGAACATCATCATATTTTCTTCTTCACACAAGGTTTTCGCTCACCTCAACTCTCCGTTGCACCCTAAGTGACTACGTCCATGCGAGATTCAATGCAATGTAAGCTGTGAGGTCTGAATGGCTCAATCGTTTTCGGGGAGATGGGTATAGGTTGATAGGCACTTGCAAGTTGAAAAAGAAATGAAAAAGAAACCATGACAGAGCGCGCGAGAAGAGGAATACCTAGGCACAAGGAAGCAGTCGCCGGGTATTCGTACGGAGAAGAGAGAGGCAGGCGCGTTGTAGTAGGTCGCACGACACAGCCTAGCCGAGCCCAGTCTAACTTCTAAGTCAGCTTCGATCTGGCCAGCCCACCTCACCTGCAACCTCGTGGTGCAACTTTGTCTACCTTACATCTTCATCTGCATCTGCATTGTAGGGTAAGGTATGTATCAAGTACATCGTCTGGGCGGTGGTTGTTGGTCTGTCTACCTTGAGGTAAGGTAAGGAAGGTACTTTGCCTCATGCTGTTTCTTAAAGTGACTTGGACTCAATCACTCAACCCAATGGAATGGAAGGAACTTGGGTGCACTCTTTCCTTCCTACCTCAACTACCTAACCTTGGTACATCTCGGAAAGGAAGCCGCACCCGCATTTGCACCAGCCACTGCATATTACACCAGCGTTCTTTCCCATCACCTAAGGCAAGGTAAACATCCATGGATAGGTAGCAAATCGAAAGTCGACAACCTCACTTGTCAGGCTGCGGAGCGCTTGACCCGGCACCATTTTTTATTTTTTTCTTAACCCTTGGAGGGGAAGGAGGGGGAAACAGCGCCTGGCACGTCAAAGGAAGGGTCCAGGGGGGCCGCCGGGGGGGTGGTGACCTTTCACCTCCACACGCGCACGCACCAGATTCTGCAAAAGGTGGGAAGGTGCGAGGTGAAGTGGGATGGGCCACGGGCAGTTTGCTGCGCCGTGGCGGGGACACCTTCCCTATCCAAGACCTCAAGGTACTCCGTGCCGTCATTTTAGCAGGGAAGTGACTTTGTCCGACGGTGAGCTACCATGGCAAGCATGGAGGACGGGGGACCTGTCTCGGGTTGGCAGGTGAGAGAGGAAATACGACGGTTGCTCTTGCCGCCAAACCGCTAAACTGCTAATCCGCCGCTCTTTGCTCCGAACCTCTTTTTTTTCTCCCATCGGCGTTTTCTCGTCTTGTCTCGTCCGCCCACCTTACCTTTACCTGACCACATAACCTATCACCACTCGTCACCTTACCACCATAACACAAGACCTTGAGCTACCTTACCTTGGCCAGCCAGTTCTTGTCTGCTCCCCCTTCTTCCCCCGCGATCCACTTTAGATCTTAACGAGATGCTTGAATCGAGTAGAATTATGGGGTCCTGGCTGGAGCGTCCCAAACTCCCAGCCATCAATCACCGCGACAGTGTCCACACCTTCAGCACTCTCCAAGGCAAGGTAGAACCAGCATTGCATGAGATTGGAAAGGGCAGGGCAGAGATGTCGAGGGCACTGAAAGCTCCCTTCTCTTAGGCATGCACACATATTCCGTACACACACACTCAAACGGACATCTTCTCGCAGTCCGATCTGGCATGGCCGCACTTAGACCCGAGGAGTCGACAGATGCGCTCGATATTGAAAGACATCCGGGCATTCTCGCAGGATTCGAAGCCCAGTCAATAAAGCCCAGCTCAGCCCAGCCCGTCAGATCAGTCGTGCGGCCCGGTCGATGATCTTCAACGACCCAACATGCTCACCGACCAAGCAATGGTGTGAACGTCTGTTCTCGGTGTCTCGGCTGGGGGGCGTCTAGGCTCTAGCCATGTCCCGTCCGCTTGGCATGTGCGGCTTGACTACGGAGAAGCTCGGAAACCCAACAACAGCTGAGGAGATGCACGTCAATGACCTTCGTCGTCGCATACACATTACACACACCTCGCGAGATTCCGTGCGCTTTCATACAGCCAGTCGTTCTCCGGGTATTGCCTGAACCTGCCTCTTCACTGCCCGACTGATGGAAGCGAGGAACAGTATCAACACAGACGTACCCATAGAGCAAATCACGACGAGAACGACAATGGGGAAGCACCTCTGGCGATGCAACACCAACCGGCCCTGGCAAAGAAAGACATGTCATGCGCACCACGTGGACCCTGTCCTGTCCCTGTCACCGTCTCCTTCACTTTGCGCTGTACGGATACGCTGTACCTCCTCGTCTCATGGTCAGGTCTCGTCCCGCCCGCCCGCTCCCTGCTCTTCCGCCCACCGAGTAACAAGATCGGGTAGCTGAGTCGCTGGCTCACCTTCAGGCTTCGGGCTGCAAAGCCTGCAACTGCAAGTCTCCAACAACTGCCCACCAAACCTCTTGCTGCACTTGCAATGGATCCAAGCGGGGGCTGTCAACCCCCACAGCCCTGGGCCAATGGCTCGGTTCCTCTTCTAATTATCCGCTCTCTAGTCGGACATCAACAACAGCCCAATGCAGAGAGAACAACATGATTCACTGGAAACCTAGAGACTCGAGATCAGAGCCCTATCTCGTTACGCAATATTTCAACAACCCATTGGTCTCCCCTTACGGATGTACAAAGTTGGACTTGAGGTCGACATCCAGCTTGGGCTCGCTAAGCTAATTGAGGTGGTCCTCGACAGAGTCGACACCTCTCCTACTCCCGTCACTCACGATATCCGCACCCGCTGCGCGCTGCTTGTGAGTCGGCCACAACCACCGGTTCCTCGCTGCCCCACGAACAACAACCCAATGCTGCGTCCGTCCATCCATCCTCTCAGAGTCTCACTTCTCTCGCCCATCTGTTCAACCAATGGAGTCTGGCTTCACCGGAAAATACCGCCAGCCTCACCGCAACTCCCTTTCCGATAGGTCTCCGCTCATCCCCCCACGCTAGCACTCGAGTCTTTCTTTCTTTTGGCCTAACTCACGAATCATCATCCACTTCGCAATCCCGCTGCATCTGCACTTCCCCTCGAGCGAGATGAAGGCCGCAACGTTTTGCTGCATGCTTTGCAATGCTTTGGTCTACTCAGATGGCCATACGATGCAACTGCCTAAGTCCAAACATGCTCCCCCATGTCAAGTTTGTCAATTGCAAGGATCACGGATGAAAGACGCTGGTGTTCATCGCGTCGTTGCTTCTTGAGATGCCTTGGCTGGCAAAGGCGCCAGTATTGAAGTCCTATTCCGAATTACCAGCCACCCTCTGCAAGTTATACTGTGGCTATGCCTCCATTGTGTGTATCAACGTTGCAACTTCGGCAATCCCATGGACAGAGGGCCGACGTCAAAACACCATTGCACATTCAGCCGGCAATTCTCGACTTCTACGGTATGCCTGTATTTGTCCTTCCAGACTCTCCCGCCGAGTCGGCGACCTGGCACAGTCAAGGTGTGTCTATGATTAGCGGCATATGCACGAAAGACGTGCGTACATACTGGTGGGATTCGCGCTTCAGATAGCCGTCGCGCCGTCTGTTCTTGTCTGCCTGCATGGCATGTGCAGGAAAAACAACATCGACATTTACGACCGAACCTCTCTTAGCTATGGATTCTCTACCGCCCCAGACTTTGAAATTTGCCATCTCAACTTGTCGATTTGGACTTTGGTAGTGATCCAACCAGCGCGACTGTTCAGCACACCTAACATCAGGATCGGACCGAACCACCTTTGTGATTGACCATGGCGCCTGCCGTCCTTGCACAACATGAAAAAAGAGGGTGGCGGGAGCGGGCAGCGGGTGCCACATCCATCTCCTCGTCGGGACCCGGTGAGCTCAATGTCTCCACCCCTCCGGGCTCATCACTTGTCTCGGTCTGCATTCCTCCGGCCATTGACGATGCGACCAGGGCCGGGACCAGAAGCTCACTGGCTGACCTTGAGGCCCATCTGCCCATCGCCGAAGATTGAGCAATGAGGAAGAAAGGTGTCGAATCCTGCGCGGTGAAGGGTGAAGGAACGGCAGGATGGCGGATGGCAGACGCCAGACGGTCGTTCCACCGGCGGCCAGTGGGATTGGCCAGCCTCCGATGTCGCCCCATTCCGCTTTTGGACTGGCTCGGGAACCTCCCGCCGACCGAAGCCGCTACAGCGAGGTGTGACAATGGGCGGCAACGCGGGCGCGAACGGTCTCTGAAGCGGTCAGCGGTCGGCGCCCGGCGTCTAGCCGACTTGATGGACCACGCCTTCAGCCTCAGTCACCTGGCACACTTCGACTGGGGGGGATGTTGAATGTTGCTTCAGAACGTAAGACAAGCCTCGGCAGTTGCTGCAAAATGCGGGACTACTTATACAGTTACCCGTCTTTGCTAGCATTGCGGAGGTGACACACGGGCTCGCGTACCAAGTAGCCGGTGAATCGTTGTCGCTAGTCCTGGTAAGTTTGCGGCTCAACACTCACCTGACCGAGTCGCCTGCGATCCCAGACCGTAGTGACTGCTCGCCTCCGTTAGAGCGGACGCCACCCTCAACATTGACTCAATTACAGGAGCATACTTTCGGCTACTTGTGATATACGGACGACCTTTGTCCAGAGTTGCTTCTGAATATGGTCCATTACTGTCCCTGCTCACAGGAAACACCATGGTGACCGTTAGCTTAACACACTGCGCGATGTCCTCGTAATGCATCTTCACATGCAACAGCTTAACACTACCCTTCGTTGATTTACTGTTTGTCAAGAATCATTAGCATGTGAGATGGGTGAGAAACAACATCAAGAACACAACATTCTGCACCGTTTCTTACTCTCTCGGTTTCCTTTCCGAAACATGACACATCATATCGAACACTGAAAGGATGATATACCCCTTACAGCAATCCTTGTACGTACCCACTGGTAGCCAAAATGGACTACGGATTACGGATAAGCTGCCATAAACAACTGGCTCTTTTATGTCCAAAGCCAGGATAAGACCATGTTTAGGATTGCTAACTCTGGATGATGGGTCAGCTTGAATAGGTACGCACGCGTAGTATCAAGGGCCCCTGGAAGTGAGGCAGCTTGAGAAGCAGTGGTACACTTTTAGTTCAGGTTTTTGCTTATACCATAATCAACCAAAGAGAAAAGTGAGAGACTGCAAGTAGAAAAGACTCATACGGAGTAACGGTAACCAGAATACTACGTTGCCTTGATTATGTGAGCTATGAATGATACAGACGTGATTTAAACTATTAGTGATGTCGCATGGATGTAACACAGCGGTGGCAATGTCATTTCAATACTTGCTTTCAAACCTGGTAGGAGGTATCTACTTACTCCCTTCTGTCATTGTGCAGCTTCGCGAATTTTCTTGATACTTCTGAGTAGTGTCGCCCATGCAATTTTCTGGTGGCTGAGTTGGAAACTATTCCGATTCATACCAGTTGTTAGTTCTTCAAGATATTTAGCTGCGGTGATTCTGCGGCACAGATAGGGCTGTCTTCAACTTTACGAGGTCTCATGCTGGGGAAAAGGGAGTTTGAAGGATGAGGAGGACTCGTCTGAGATAGGGGTATGGTATGGGAACCCGTACAAGGCCGCTCTGTTAAATACTCTCCAGAGCCCAGCCCTGCGAGGTGAGTGAACTTTTACGCGTATGTTTTTGATCCTGGCGATTTTATCTAGCCTACGTTACGCGAAAAGATTTTGTACACGGTGACGATGGAGGACTTGAGGTTTTGTCTTGGCCAGTATTAGACTGGATGTAGATACAGAAGATCGTACTTGTCTGCCTTATGACTCCCCCGTCTGGGGTGAACTAGTTCGTTTGAGCTAATGCATCTGGATTGTAGGGCCCGGACATACCTTGGCTTAAATGGCCTACGCCAGGGAGGCAAAATGGGTTGAAGAAACTTCTGCTTGTCCTGAAATTGGATTGTAACTTGCCAAACTAGAAGATATAGCCAGGCGTGAAGTTGAAACATGGGTACTCAACCTGCAATGGCCAATACCTTCTTTATTCGCTGAACAAAGTCCCAATCTAGACAAAGCTACTACTGCTGAACTCGGATAAAAGACAAGGGAGGGTTGAGTATAACGGGACCTCGAAACAGTCATCGTCTCCTGGCGGCCAGACCTTCTTTGAAATGATGCGAAAGATTGAGCGAGGTATTTCTTCCAGCTACCGCTACTGGCGCTATCATGACCTCGAAGTTGGAACCGAGGCGTGAATAGACTTGAGGTATCGATCGTGAAGGGGCTCCCTACCCTCTCCTGAATACCTAGAGCAAAGCGATCTTAAGACACGTACTTTGTGCGATACGAAGGTTGTCTGCAGGGCGGGGCATACTTGGTTCAAAGAAGCATAAGGAGGTGGATGCATGAATCCTACGAGGAAGAAGGCGTTGTTCGCATTTCGTTCTCCAGGGTTAGCTGAGAGCCAAAGTACGCATATGGGCTCGCCAGTTTTCTTCCTTGCGGTTCTCAAGTCTATTCAAGGTGGGAGCGCAGTCGACGTAAACAACGTCGAATACTGCGCGCCTTCCCTGGCAACCGCAGCACACGCAACACAACTCTGTCAATAACACAGATCCCACCGTCACCATCACCAGCTTGCAGACCCTCAAATCACAAAAACACCACTTCAACACCATATTTTACTAATTTTGAATGCCATACAACCAAAAATTAAGTCATCAAAAAGAAAAAGGTCTCTAGAAGATTTGTCCTAAAAGTTCGGTCAGGGTGTTGAACCATTGACCTATGAAAACCCCACCCCCCCAGGGGAATTTTCTGCTCAGTATTTAACCGCTCGGCTAATGCGTTCCCGGGGCGTCCCCCGGGGCTGGTATACGTTTGAGCAAAAATGTTGTAGATGTAGGGTGAGGGTGGGCGGTGTGGTGGTTGACCATCTAGGTGACTGAGGCCATAGTGTGGTGGCTTGGAAGTTGGGATGAAAAAGGGGCGGCTGGGGTGTGAATATGTGGATGGCCTGGAGTGAATGAGCCTGAGGTTCTAGGATATACGGCTCCCTTTGATGAGCAGGTTCTTGAGTCCGAGATACTAAGGGATAGAAATTACTTTCTAAGTGTTCTTTGAATCTGTTCTACCGAATAAGCAAAAACATGCCGTCTATGATGGTCGCTGCTGAAAGCTATCAAGCCTTATACTACCACCCCTAGCATCACGAAACAGATAACGTCCAGCGTCTGTCTACATTTAACCATTATAGGGGCTTATTCGCAAACCCCAACTCCTTATTCCCACCGTGAAACACCACAAACTGCGACTTTAGGAAAACATCCCCGTAAATCGCGAACGGCAAAGCCGCAGAGCTCTGAATACCCCCAAAGCACGTCGTCGAAGTCTCAATCGTCTGCCCATCGACGGGAGCAAACTTCATAAAGTCGCCCGGGACGACGGCCTGGTACGTGCCCATGTCGACAGTAAAGGACGGGATCTGGTCCTTGCAGTTGAAGACGAAGCCGCCGTTGGTGGCGTCGTATTTGGCGCTCGCGATGCGCTGGTAGTAGGCCGAGACGATGGCGTCGGGCAGGAGCATGAGCGTCGTGCCCGTGTCGGCGATGGCGGCGTGGGGGGCCGAGGTGGGCGCGCTGCCGTTGGAGCCGACGGCGAAGCCTTGGGCTGTGAATTGCCAGAAGCCTTGCGTCGTGTTGGCGGGGACGAAGGTGATGTCGCCGGTGTACTCTGTTGAGTCGAGGAAGCCAAAGTTGTAGTTGCCAGCTTTGTGATTTGATGGTTAGTTGAGAGTCTTTTTTGGAAGAGTTTCGAAGTGATATCTAGACTTACCCGCTGCCTTCTTGAGATTTGCTGTAAAAAGTGGCATGGCGAGGTTGGTCATGGCATTCTCGAAAAAGGTCTTCTGCTTGGTAGGCTGAACAGTGTTGATGTTGCCAAAAGCGAGCCCGACAAGACCAGACTGGTTCTTATTCCGAGAAAAGGACGACGACACCTGAGTAGCAGACTCGACTGCTTGGCTCTCGACGGTTACACCGCCGATCGTGACGGTGTCCATGTAGACATTACCTTGGGACGAGCTACCGTCGCCATATGAGATCGACCAGGAAGCGCCTTGGAGGACTTTGGCACTTGTGCTGGCGTTGATTTTGTACAATGCCTGCCCAGCAACTTGAGTTATCGGCGTCTCACTGCTGAAGACCCATAGATCCGAAGATCCGGTATCGAAGTTGAGCGGGATAGTCTGGGGCGGTGTGCCGATCTGTACAGGGCAGAGATACTGGCTGTCGAACTCGGCGGGAATCGCCGCAACCTCTCCTTCAAGAATGTGAGCTTAACCCAGAGAAGCCAACGTGTAGACTTACCACCTGGAGGCGTCTTCGTTCCATTACCCTTATTACCTCCACCTCCGGGAGAAGTGGTTGTGCCATTGCCCTTTGAACCACCAGCACCAGCATTGCCTCCTTTCCCTCCCTTGCCCTTTCCTTTGCCGCCACCCTTGCCCCCCTTACGACCGCCTTTGCCTTTGCTTCCGTTCAGTAATCCAAGTTCGCCAAGGATTTGATCGATAAGTCCTAGCAGATCGTCGGGAATCTGCTGCCCAAACTTGGAGTAGGCTCTGGCCAAGGCGATTGGCCCTCGCCTGTTTCCATAGTAAAAGTCGGGATTGGGAGCCTGCTCGATTCGAAAGGCGGCACCACCTAAGGTAGAAATCTCTATTTTCCGAGGCGCCGCATCTACTAGATGAGAAGCAAAGGGAATGAATGCTGCCACTGCAGCTGGCTTGGTAAAACGCATGGCCACTCGGAGGAAGAGAAAGGTCTGGCGAAGGAGTGAAGCCAGATAGGAAGCTCACAGAGCTTTCAACAAACAACAGTCTAAGAAGAGGAATAACAGTACGAAGATAGTGACACAAGGAAAACAAAAGGCTTGGAAGCGCGGAGCGTCCTGGGGAAATAGGCACACAAGCTTTTGCCAAGTTCGCTTACCATTGTAGCAACGCATAGATCGACCATTCTCAGCCGTTTCGAAATGCTCGAATACCTAGTCACCAGTTGGATCGTCATCCAGGCAATGACGAATCGCGAGACGGAGGGAGAAAATTCCACTTTCCGGGCCTGGCGACGGAGAACCTGATGTAGGCGCCAGGGGCTAGATCGTTCGAGTCTGCCCGCCATCCGGCGAGTCGACAGTCTCCCATAGAGGCGCATCCGTAGACGGCCTGCGACAGTCGATCATTCAAATCATCTCAAAGCGTGATTCCTCGCGGACACTGTACGCCGGAAGGTGTGAGGCGGCCTCTATGGCCGTATGCTTGGCTTCCGAAACACTGTAAGTCGGGCACGCGACCCCTGTCCGCAAGGTCATCCAAGTCGCGATGCCGAACTTCCGGAACCACTTGTTGGTTCGCCAAGCCCCTGTTCAGAAGGCGCAAACACGTCTAGCAAGTCCAACACTCTACTTGTGATGTTGAACGAGGACACCCGTAACGTGGGAAAGCAAAAAATAAAGATCGATCATCTGAAGTTGCTCAGAGACATGCGATGAAATGGGCGGGAGAAATAGATTGCGATACATATTGATGGTTCAAAGTCTAATACCAAGATGGGGAGAACAAGGGATTCTGTGAGGGTGTGGCCCAGGTCTGACGAGATTCATGCAAAACTGAAACCGCTCTGCATCCTCGAGTTGACAGCTACTGTGACTCGGAAGACACCGCTTGAGTCTTCGGCCGAAATCCCGGACATGTATAACGGTTGTAAGTATTTGGCATCACAGAGTTACAATGGTTCAAGAAAAAAAGTCGGTCATTGCAACCCATGTCGGACAATGGAAGGAGTGCTCCCTGACGTCGGAATAACCGGAGTCCGATGGATGACCACCCCGAGTTGTGACTAGAAAAACTTGAGGTAAGCAGCCCGTTGATAAGGCGTGTCCAAGAGACGTCGTCAAATTTGTTGATATGAGAAACAAGCGAAGGATAGTGCCGTCGCTTGGCGTGGTCGATCTCTGCAGGTTAATCTCTTCAAGGTGCCGTTACCTTGATTTTCAGTCCAAGATCCTGTTAGGACAAACTATCTCGCCAGGTATTGGCCATCCAACATCAAGCTCTCGGTTGACTAGCCAATGCCATTTCATCGGAATTTCGATGATTCAGGGATCGAGGAAGCGATAGCCCACGGAAGAATACATGGGTAAGGTGAATGAATGGTGGCTTGACAGCTGCTGGATCAAACCTTCAAAAGGTGGGAAAGTTCAAGGTGGAAGCAGATTCCCGAGCCAAGTTCGCCCAGGGTGCTGCTTAGTCACCACCTGTCAACATACCTACCCCGCCACCCCACCTGCCCGCCTGAATTTCTGCAATTTGCCAAGAGGCAGTGAGTGACAGTCCAAGACTCACCGCCCGACCCTTCCTCCCCCTATCACCGAAAGGCATCAGGACTTGTTACGCGTCTTCGTACGTGTCAGCCACTGCTTACGATGCGAATGACTTCCTTTCCACATTGTTCTAGTAAACTCTATCCATGAGTAGCTTTTGACTGTAATTTCTTCGACACCGTCACTCGTTGACTTTCTGCTGGTTTTTATTCATTTCCTTCTTCGCGACGATTCAGGGTCTTTCCAAATCCCCCCCTTCGCATTTGCATTTACGACTACGCAACGACTACACGACGACACACAACGATACACGCCGATAAGATGGCTCCAGAACACGATGCCCTCATTCTATCATTCTCCCACCTGCCGGATTTCCCGCGCGCCCCTGATGCTCTCCAAACGCTGAAGAAGGTGGCCTCCTTGGTCAAGCCCATCATGCGAGTTCGAGGGTGGAAGGTGGGAGAGCTAGCCGAGTTCTACCCAGATCAAGCAAACCTTCTTGGTATGTCAAACGCCCGACGGTGCCATCTGTCTACTAACCATGGTGTACTCAGGTCTCAATATCAACAGAGGCCAAAGAATTCTCGTCCGCTTACGTTATCCCAATGACCGATCACTCTTCCTACCTATCGAGCATGTTATCGATACGATGCTTCACGAACTTTCCCACATTGTATTTGGACCCCATGATGGCAACTTCCACGCGTTGTGGAATCAGCTTCGAGACGAACACGAGTCGCTCATTCGAAAGGGATACACGGGTGAAGGATTTCTATCCGATGGACATCGCCTTGGAGGCGGCCGGATACCTATGCATGAAGCTCGACGGCTTGCTAGAGCATCAGCCGAAAAGCGTCGCACTTTGACTAAGGGGTCGGGCCAGCGTCTTGGTGGCTCTGGACCCAGCATCGGGTCTGATATTCGGCGAACCATTATGGGCGCAGTTGAGCGCAGAAATAATACGCTGCAAGGATGTGGTAACACGAATCACAATGACAGAGAGATCCAACAAATCTCCGAGACAGCTACAAAGAACGGCTTCCGTACGCAGGCCGAGGAAGATGCGGCCAACGAAGCTGCGATAGCGCAAGCTCTCTGGGAACTGGTGCAAGGAGAAGAGCGCCAGCGGTATGGTGGTTACTTCATCCCACCCACAGCGCAAAATCCTACTGGCAACGGGGGAGGGTCCGTCATGAGAGATCACGAAAACAGAAGCAGGAGTGTTCCTCCGCCGATCCCAGGACCAGCAACAAGACCCCCATCGGTACCGAGGCCAGAGACTCGGCCACCAGTTGTGTCTGCGCCAGTGCCACAACCGGCTCCGCAACGGGGCTGGACATGCGGAGTCTGTACCCTCCATAATCCTGCGAGTTTCTTGTGCTGCGATGCGTGCGGCACAGAACGAGGCCAGGACCCTCAGCGTCAAGTGTGGACACCAAATGCCGAGAAGCGCGAGCGCGAACGTCAACGGGCATTAATGGCCGAAAGGGCGGAAAGCACGACACAGCCTGCCACCATTGATCTCACAGGTAGTCCACCCAGAGCCAGTAGTAGTAGGAAGACTGGCAGCAACATTCAACGCCCCGAGCCAGTGAAACCACTAACCTGGCAATGTTCGTATTGCGGGACGATGATGGAAAGACAGTGGTGGACGTGTTCGACATGTGGAGTGATGAAAGACAATTCACTCTGAAGAGAGCGGGGAAGAGGCGAATAACATGGACGAACCCCGGCAGCAAAGGAACGAGGAGGGCAGCGCAGCACGTGAAGGGGTCCTTTTTCTGGATCCTCAGGGTCCAAATGACAGAATGCCCGATGATACCCTTGCAAGCGAAGGAATTTTGCGATGCCTGCACTGCATCATGTCGTCTGTTGCTTTAAGCAATAGTTATACTGTAAGGCTGCACTTCAAATCGAGACGGGATGACATAATATCTCACGACGTCGAGAAAAGGGATGCAACCCACAACCCATTGTTACCTAGTGCTATGCTCACACGGCTGACAAGCAAAGTAAACGGGGAGAAATCGAGTCAGGCATGCACCCAGCACATGTCGAGACAAAGATGCGCTATGATATGGAATCTTTGAGTGGCACGAACGAGCTACACTCGTTTTGTCTAGGAGGACGACTTCTGGTTGCGTTCTGACAGTATACTACGGAAGAGACGCCGACGACCAATCAAAGCTGCTTATGCCAGAATGACGTCAACAGCGGGCAGAGCGAACACGGTGACAGGCTCGGGCAGCAAAGCTCTGTCAAAACAAGGGTGGTGCTGGGGCAGGATGATTGGTTCTCACCAGCAAGGCCAGGGTCAGATGATCTGCGTCATACCATGCAGCTTGGGAGCCTTTGGTGGCACTGAAGGCGCACCGATATGGAGAAGACGACCAGGGCCCTGGTCGTGTCTGTGGCCATCCCGGTCTAGACGTCTTGAGTGCCTGCGAGCTAGATCCGTTCGAGTTGGAGATCTTTGATCGATGGAGAGACCGTGAAGTCTGGACGCAGGGCAAATTTGTCACCGACAAACGCCATTCGGAGGTAGTCAAAGCCCAAGTCTTTGCGTTTATCCGAATCCAGCATAGTAGACATCACTTCCAAGTATCGAAAGCTTCTGAGTGGATGAGCCAATGCGGGAAAAAGACTCACCGAACGATGATCTGTGCCGCATTCACGGAGGACCAAGCGATGCAGCAATACCCCTCGAATATGCAATTGAAGAGCATTTCCGACAAGACATCATGACAGGCTCTCTACAGAGGCACGAGAGGACACGCAGTATAAGCTACAGGCCATGTATGGACGAGAACAGGCGAACGTCACACACGTCAAACCGAACCGGCGGGATCACCCGGACACGCGACGGATATAGAGGAGGTTGCTGCAGTCACCTCCTCGTCTGTCATTATGGTCTCATGTTGCTGTGGCAGATGCGAATAGCTCACGGGGTTCCATTGGTACAATAGCCTCGACAGTCGATCCGTCAATTGATGGAGAGAGATCAGCTTGCGACAAGGGTGGCAGCCAAGACCACGCTTAACTGCAAGCTCGCTACCAAGCTGTGTCTCCCTCAGGGTCTACGAATACATGGACATTGATCACCAAGCTTTAGCTAGCGCCAGACGTTGTCCATCAGCTGTCGATGCCAGTTCACCAACTGTTGGCCCCCGGTCGAACCCCATTGCGAAGGCAGGCAGAGCCTAAAGGACCTCGATTATCAGAGACGACTCGGTTTGACCGTAGATCGGTTCTAGAAATCAGCATGAGACTGACAGGAACAAGCGCAGCATTCTGTCTGACAATTAAGAAGAAACTGAGACATTGGCGGAAGCAACCCGTGGCTGAACCAATTCCTCGACGGTTGGGAGGTGTCGAGCGACACACCTGATGGACCCGGCCAGACACGCGGATCGCAGCAAGACAAAGAAGGGATCAGCAAAACGAGAATGTCGCTCACGAAAGAAAAAAAAAATTGTCCCGAACGGCGACCAGGAAGATGGTGGTGGTGGTGTGCGCTGTGCCTCTCTTAGGGTCGGGGTCCCTCTCTGCAGCGGCATGGAGCGCCAATCTTTACTTCACTTGGGGAAAAATTCCATTCTTGCTAGCTTTATCCAGTTGACCCATCCGGAGACGCCCCATCGTGTCCCATATTCGAGGTTCGCCTCGTCGGTCGGGGGATCCTCTTCTGCCGTCATCGTCGTTGGATTTTACGGCCCACGCAGCAGCAAGGCAAATGTTGGACCGGCGCATGGTTCCATGTCAGACTGTCAGTCGGGGGCCTCGGTTTGGGCAGCACGACAGCAGAGAGGCAGTGGATTATGATATCCATCACAGTCCGATATTGGCCTGTCTCTCGAGTGGTGGGGGATCGGCTGGACAACACATCGAGAACACGAGCCTTGCGTTGCGGGAGCCTCAATCCGTCGTCCGGGCTTGATTAACATTGTGGATGTTTGTGGGCGTAGGCCGGCAACAAGACGGGAGGAGATAGTGCCATGCGCCTGGAAGGGGGAGATGCAGAAGATGTGAGGCGGTTTAGTGCATAATGTGGGTGTACTCTGTTATTACACGAAAACCGACATTGGTGAGAAGCGGAAGAGTACGAAGACACAAACCAAAGTGCGGCTTCTCGGATGAGATAGGTGAAGGACGACGGACGGACGAATGGCATGGATTGAGCCGCAAAGACGAACGGGAAGATCCCACGCGGGAAGGGTCTGGACAGAGTTGAAACATGAAATGAGGTCGGCGCTCGCGGTGCCTGGTGTCTCGAGCTGTTTCTTGTCCAGGGGAATCCCTCACGGAGAGCCTGGATAGGAAGTGAATGTTGGAAATGTCGGGCAATTTTATTGAATAAGTGGGAAAAGAAGGCAGAGCGACAGGCATTACGAATTTGACGGGCTGGGCAGAAAGGAGCATCGCTGCCATGGCCGCCATCGCTGGTGCCTCACCTGTGGGCAGACCGCAGGGCGAGCGAGTGATCCACTCCGTACGTACCTGCCGTGTATTCATTCGAATAGGTACCGCCATTCCCAGAACCCCAGCGGGCAGGTGCTACGGCCCACTGAAGGACAGTGGGTTTGAAGGGCGTCATGGGTGGTGGCCAGCCATGGAAAGCGCGGAAAGTCCACTGCAGACCGCTCAATGTGCCTGTCCTGGCTCATCCTGGATCATCGAGATGGATGAGAGCGAGGTACTTGCTAGGGTGGCTTAGGTAAGGTACTTGAGAATACGTTCCTGGACCCGGAATCAGATTTCGATGCCTTCCTGATTGAACTTGTGCATCCCCCATCCACTTTCCCATCCACCTCATGGCCAACTAAAAAGCCAGCCTGGAATTGAGAAGTACCTTCGTACCTGGCAGGTCCGGATACAAGGATACCCAGAAACCTGAGGGTGTGAGGCACGGAGCACTTGTCGTGCCTGACATAATATGCAGCAAAGACAGGTACAAGTTCTCGTACCGTTCAAGTCCCGTCCCTTGCAACCCCCGTTTCTCGTATCCAATCCCGTTCCCCCTCTGGCCACCGCCGTTGTCACAGCACATGACGATCCCTCTCTCTCTCTCTCTCTCTCTTTCTCTCTCTATCTCTCTCTGTCTCTCCGAGTACTTCTCATGCGCGCGCTGTCTTTCGCTTGCTCTGGAACTCTTAAGCGCATGGAATCAATCTAATAGGAGGAATGAAAATGGTTCTGGTGTCCTTAATTATCGCCTCTTCCCCGCCCACCGGCACAGAACTCGAGACTTTGGACGCCCAACGGCAACAGCACCACAGCACGTCACAGTCAGTAGAAGAACGAGAACGAGCAAGAGGCGGCGGCGGCGGCACGGCGGGTGATCCCAAGGTGTGATTCGCATCCAGCAGAAACATTGCCCAGTCCGATTTGCCTCCATGTTTAGCCCTCCTTAACCCTGGTGCTTTTCTTCCCCTCAACCCCCTCTCTGCCGTCTGTCCTCGTGTGCTTGTATCCGCAAGGTACGGAGTAGCAGTAGTCACTGTTGTGTACGAATACACTACTACCCATGTACTGTCCCAGTCCGTTTATGAGCATAACCCGCGAGCTCAATGGCCCATTTGTCCCACCGCCCTCACCCACTGCCACCACTTCTTGGGAAATCCCCCCCCCCCCCCTAGTCCCGGTCGCAGTCCCATCTTACCTGTATGTACTTGTTCCCCCAGCTCAGCTTTGGTGTCCATGTTCCTCCCCCCCAAGTTACCCTACGGATACCCAAGCACTCCAAGCTACCTACCTTACAAGGCCCCCCCAGACGTTGCATGGGCTCGACCACCACTCCTCCTGCGTCTTGATGCTTGATCACCGACGACACCACTAGGAAGGGTAAGGTAGGAGAACCATATTCACTCAAACAAAGTTTGGACTATGACGCCCCATCTCTTGTCCTTTCCTCGCCTGTCTGGTCTGTCGCCTGTCTGCCAATCCTGACTGTACCTACGGATACACACCTACCCTACCTTAGCTTACCTATCCGTACGTCGTACTCCGTACACACGCTTCACTACCTATTCGTACCTACAGTCAGTTTGGTCTGTCTGTCCGATCTGTTCAGGTCTGCTTGGCTTACGGATACCATTTGGTTGGTCTCTGCTCTGTCTCTATGCATCTACTCCGTACCTATTCTCTCTATCCAAACAGTCCATTGTGAGTGAGCTTGATCCCCCTTCTTTTTATTGTTTCTCCTGCAAACCCCCCTCCCTCCGTCTTTCAGATACCCTTAGATCCAGTATCCATCCGTACCTACTCGCCTTCTACTCTTTCCCGTGTGCCCCCTTCGGAGCCAAGAACCAGGGCGCACACGACTCCTGCAAACTACTGCGTCAACCTCAACCCGTCATCTCGCACCTGCTCTCTTTCTGTGCTTTTGTACTTGCATTTTGTATTTTCACTGCCATTGCCATTTCCATCTCGTGGTGGCGTTTCAAAGCAGCTTTCTTTCCCTTTCTTACCTTCTTCTGCGCTATGTTCTAGACCTCCCCACACCACTTCCGGAATTAAAGCCGCCATCCGACCACTTCGTTCTCTCTCCCTCTCCCTCTCTCTCTATTGTCTGCTCGTCTATTCATTCGAGGCTACCTTACTCCACGACACACACAAACACGTACGTACACTCACACGCCCTCTCTATCTCAGGCCTATCTTAGTAAGCCCCTGCCGCTATTGCTTGTTGTCGCACTTGCACCTCTCCCACCCCCCCTCCGACTTTCATCTTTGCCGCCTCTTTTTCGAAGCCGCCGTTTGCAGTCGAATTCAAACCGCGCGGGAATCTCTACGCCAGCGTCCCAATATTCTTTCCCTTCGCCTTGCCCGGTGCTCGATATCTTAGCTTCCTGGCCCTGTTTGCGCCTTGGTCAGCCCGGCCAGCCCCAGCCGCCGTTGTCGCTTGTGCCCATTGCGACTGCCACTTTTCTATCCATACGAATTCGGGAAGCTTGTGAACTAACGGACAAGAAGAAGAACAAGAAGAAGAAGAGCGCTTGAGCTTTTCTCTTCATCCTCCAGTGCCTCGACTGCGCCTCGACTGCTCACAATTAGAGCACATTCCCATCGAAGCGTCTATCCGGAGACGGGCCCTTAGTCCGGCGGTCCAGAACGCACGCCCTTCACGCAGACAAGGCGCCGCGCCATGCTCTGCTCCGCCTTCTACTCCCCCATGATTCTCTAGCATTCTGCTGCCACCGCCGCTTGTTACGTCCTGGTCACTGCCTGGCTGCTCACCGATAAACCTCCTTCCAACTACTCCAGCTCCGTCGGCACCTGACGAGGGTTGCAACTTCATCACCCACCGCGGGCGAATTTCTACTCTGTAAACCTTACCTATCACACGCTTCTGCACCGAGGTTCACCTGCGAGCCGTAGCTTCCCATGCGTGGGCCACCGCCGAAATGCCACCTCCCGAGCCTGTTATCACCAGCAGTCATGCCCGAGGCAGCGGTCCAGTAGTTTCACCCCTCAAAACTGCAGTACCATCTCAGAAACCCAGTCCCCCAGGATCGCGGCCTTCTACCGGAGAGAGCGGGTTCAACTTCGACACATCATCATCGCCACCAGAGAATTTGGTACCTACGCATAGTGATGGCGCTCCGAGTACAACCAGCAGCAGCCGCTTCTTTCGCGAGAACTTCAAGATAGGATCCGGCGAAGGCAAACGGTCACACTCAGCTAGTCCCTTCCGCATATCGATGCCTTTCATCACGCCCGGTCAGCTCGCTTTCTCCGCCATGCAATATTTGCCAGTTCCGGTACTGGTTCTGAATAATCTCAAGACTGTGGTGCTTGCCAATGAAGCCATGGGGAGGATGCTTGGGATGACAAATGATGCAGCCGAAGACAACTCATACGTTGCTGAGAGGCTGAGGGGGCAATCCTTATCCCAGGTTGGTATCGACATGATTCAGGAAGGTCGTCCAGTTTGGGTTGGATGGGAGGCGTTTTTGGATTCTCTCGTTCTCGAAATGGGCGCAAATCAGACGTCAAAGGATGCCGCGGATATGTTCGGCCAAGAACAGGGTGGAGAGGCGACACCGACCCCGAATTCACTCGCCCCGCCATTACCGGACCATCCAACGGGCCCATGCTTGGTCAAAGATGCCGTGGTGGATGTCATTATTTCCCGCAAAGAGTTGGGGAAGCCGGGATTTGATCCCCGGACCAAGGGCGGGGCGTCGGACCATCAAGTCTACGCCAAGATGATTGTTACGATATGGGAGATTGAGGATCACCAAGTATACTTCACCCTAACTTTCACCAGCACAAACTCCCCGCCTTCCCAACCGGCCCCGAGCCGCAAGGCGGTCGCGCGACCCAATATGTTGGAACATGCAGAGCGCAAGACCATTTCCAATTCGAACCCGCCCTCTGTCAGCTCCAGCCACGACTCGAGCTCACCCTCTTTCCGCGTAAGCCCAAGTGCTGTATCACTTTCGTCGACTCCGTTTCCTCCGATGGGCCCGCCCTCGACAGCCGTACATGCGAGCTCGCCCTCGATTCTGCAGAAGATGATTCTCATGAAAGACGCCTTGCTTGACAACACGGAAATGCCCATCCTTGCGATGTGGAAGGATGGAAGCGTGACATTCCCGAATCGCGCCGCTCGAACGCTACTACGGCAAGAAAGCGACTTGGAGAAATCATCAGACGGATTCGATCTGCTGCCGGGTTGGACAGTTTGGGACCAGGATTTTGAGAGAGAATTGGACGTGAGCGAGTATCCCATTTCGGTCCTGCTGAGAACGGAGACGCCTTTCACAAACATGCGCGTTGGTATGATTGACCACTCGTTGAAAAAGATTGTCTACGATGTGCTGGGGGAGGCGATTAGAGATGACAGCACCGGCGAATTCTTGGCCGGCGTTGTTACCTTTAGAGATATCACCAAGATGAAGGAGGAAATTGTCGAGATTAAGGAGAGGGACGAGGAGCGCTTCAAGCTAATATGCGACACTATGCCTCAGCTGGTTTGGACGACGAAACCAGATGGCTATCATGACTTTTTCAACACTCGGTGGTACTCATACACGGGGCTCACTCCCGAGGAGTCAATGGGCTTGGGATGGAAGCATCCGTTTCACCCGGATGACATACCGGAAACTGCTCGGCGATGGAAGCATTCTCTGGAAACTGGAAGCCCTTACGTGACGGAGTATCGGTGCCGCAGCAGAACTGGCGAATGGAGGTGGATGTTGGGAAGAGCTCTGCCACAGAGGAATAAAGAAACAGGCAAGATCGAAAAGTGGTTCGGAACTTGCACCGACGTCAACGAAAGCATCGAGGCCAAACTCGCTGCCAGGAGCACCCGACAGCAGCTACTGAGCGTTCTTGCGCATTCTCAAGTCACCATCTTCACCGTCGATACCAATCTCAATCTCACCATGTTGGAAGGTGCGCTGATGTGGGACAGTAATGGAGACGACAATGCCGCAAACCAACCGACTTGGTTCCTCGGCCAAAACATGTACGAGGTCTTCAATCGACTCAACCCTCAGCTCAAGACTGGCGAACGCCCTAAATTCCTCCGCCCCGTCGAAGACATATTGGCAGGCGGAAAGACGGAAGAGGTGGCAGAGCACGGCATGGATGGACACTGGTACCGGACAAGATTCTTGCCTATTCTCGGCAAGAAGACGAAGGAGGCCATTGTGAGCAACGAGACCCGCATCGAAGGCGTCATTGGTGTCATTATGGATGTAAGTGAGCTCAAGGAAAAGGTCGAAGACCTGGAAGAAGAATCTCGGGAAAAGAAGCAAGCGATGGCGAACGAGGCGGCCGCAAAGGAAGCAAACAGGCTCAAGAGCCAGTTCCTCGCCAACGTAAGTGACTGCACTACTATGGTCGCAGAATCATGGGCTGACAAGATGATAGATGTCTCACGAGATCCGGACGCCCATTACTGGCGTCATCGGAATGGCCGAGTTGTTGAGGGATATGGAACTTGACGCCGAACAGACCGAGTATGTCGAAAACATCCAGAGGTCGGCAAACGCTCTCTTGACGGTCATCAACGACATTCTCGATTTCTCCAAGGTTGAATCTGGACGTCTCGACATCGAAGAAGTCCAATTCTCACTTTCAGTTATTGTTACGGATGTGAGGAAAATGTTAAGTTTTGCTGCGGAGCGAAAGAACCTGGACTTCCGATCCGACATATCGAAAGAAATCGAAAGCGATCTGGTCGTCATTGGTGACCCCGGTCGTGTACGCCAGATCATTACGAATCTTTTGACCAACAGTATCAAATTCACCAACCAAGGTTATGTCAAGTTTTCGGTGCAGAAGGAGAAGGAGACGTCGGATAGCATCGTTGTCAAGTTCATTGTTGAAGACAGCGGTATCGGAATCGAGGAGGAGGTGCGGAAGAAGCTTTTCCAGCCCTTCAGCCAAGGCGATGCGTCTACGGCGAGAAAGTTTGGTGGCACGGGCTTGGGTCTGACGATATGCAAGAACCTTTTGGAGTTGATGCATGGAGAGATGACGCTGGAATCTGCCCTCGGCAACGGAACAGTAGCAACATTCTGGGTCCCCTTCAGCAAACCCCAAAACCAGAGGGCACCACTCGTTGAGATTGGCTCCCTTCCGGACAGGCTACAGTCTGAGATGAGCGTCTCGTGTCACAGCTCGGAGTTTGAACAGCTTCTGAACACGCCTCCTGCCTCTGGCGAGTCCTCGCAATTCCTAGGCGATAAGCACAAGTCTCTATCACGACGACTATCGGTACGAACACCGCCGGCCTCAGACGAGGAGTTATTGCCACACGCTGAACGTGCGAAAATACGAGTTCTTGTCGTCGAGGATAAGTGAGTGTTAATTTCTTTTTGGCTACGTTACGGTTCATACTAACGGTCTCCCAGTGCTATTAACCAGCAAATCGCAACCAAGACGATTATGAAACTTGGCTTCACGGTAACAGCAGCATGGAACGGAAAAGATGCCCTCGAGTATATGTCGGCAGCCCAGCAAGGCAAACACAGCAAACCAGACATCATATTGATGGACGTGCAAATGCCGGTCATCGACGGCTACAAATGTACGCATCTCCTCCGCCACCACCTCCCATTCAAGGCATACGTACAAGACGTACCGATTGTGGCGATGACGGCATCGGCAATTCAAGGCGACAAGGAGAAATGCACTCGAGCAGGAATGGACGACTATCTCGCCAAGCCAGTCAAGAGCAAGACGTTGGAGAGAATGCTTGTCCGCTGGAGCTTGATGAAGAGGTCGCAACAAACAATATACAGAGAGTCGGATGGGTCCATGTCTGATTGCTCAGACACCGCTGCACACTGCAGCAATGCCGACATCCCCGGTGTAGCACATGATCATCCGGATCCTACGCCCCCGGATTCGACAAAAGCTGCGGCGCCATCGAGCCGCCAACGAGAGCAATCCCAGGAAACAGATCATGAAAGTCGGGGCGATCCGGTGACGCCTAGGCCTCTTACCAGGAACAACTCCTATGAGCCGTCACCGTTCGATTCTCCAAACGTGGAGGAATCCATCAAGCCAATCAGGCGCTCCGAGACTGACGAGCTTGCATTGCAAGCACAGCAAGGCAAGCTAATGGAAGCCGCAGGTGGGAAGAAGCTCCCGCGACGGGGAGAATCCTTCCAGACGGTTGTGGCCGGCGATTCCTTGACTGAGGAAAATGTGGAAAAGTTGGAAAAGGAGGAACACAAGCGGAGGTCATAGACATGAGGAGTTCTTACAGCATCCTACGTTTTTCAAATGCTTACCGAGGGGACATTTACTACCACAGCGAGGTGCATGGCGCCCGGTCACTGTATTTGTGCTTACAAACGTAATACACAGAGAGTTGTACATATGGCAGCAGAGAAATCGGCAAGCAGGACATTTGGGGATGCGGCAGGTCATGTTGCATCTTGGCATTTCGATCGGCGCATAAAGCTGGGCAGGGTTTGGATTTTCGAACCGGAACGCGAAAAAAACAAACAAAAATGCGGCATACGGGCGAAACGAATTTCGCCAGATGGCAATGGTTTTGTGGTTATACCTATTTCGTCGGAATTGATAGAACAAGGGGGGGGGGGGGGGGGAGTCGAGGGCCTCGACGAGATTCTGCTGCCTGCTGCTTACGAGCCCAGGTTTGTTCTTTATTTTTTGTAACTCTAGTCGATAATGACTGAAATCGAACTTTTTGGCACAACTACCCTGATATCTCTGATCTCGTTCTCTCATCGTCCGTTTTGTGACATGGTATGTTTGTAAGATGCGGACGGTACTCTCAGACCGTGGGTTACCGGTGGCTTACCGGGCCCGTGGGTGTGTAATGTTTCTCAGCGGGTTGCTGTCACATAGGGAAGCGAAGCGAAACCGAGTGAGAGTTTTTGTAGATCGGATCTAGGCTTTTGTCGGTGGAAGAGAGTTTGCCCGAGCGTGCCGTGGATGGGATGATGAGTTTTGGGGAGGGAAGGAGGGGGAAGTTCGGAGTCTGATCCGGTGGGTATGGGTAGGGGATGCTCGTCTACGAGGTACGCTCGGGGGGTTACATAGTGTTGTGTAGCGTGGGTAGGCAAGGTATGCGGGTGATTTTGTTTAAAAGAGTTTCGAGTTTGGGGTGTTGGGTGGGAGGTTGGTGCAGGGGCTGTGCTGGATGAAAGGAACTTCGCGTCTGGGATTGGCCCTGCTTGTGAGTCGATGAGTTTATGAAGGGGTGGTTAGAGTTGAATGGGATGGAGTTTCCGGAGGGCCGGGTCGGGTTGGTGAGGTGGATGGATGGATGGATGGATGGATGTAGGTGTAGGTGGGAGGTGGTGCTTGCTGTGCGGTGACTCGGGCTTGTGTGGTGTATGGCGAAAGTGTTCATTTTGATGTTGTTGTGAAGGATGATGGATCTATACATTATTTTGACCTGGCTCTGGGCCTGAATGTTAGATGTTGATACTCTCTGCTATCTCTCCACCCTCATATACCTTACCCAGACCATCTTCTGTTCTAAATTGGGTTCAAAAGCCCCGCAAGTTCAACACTCCCGATCCTCGTCCCCGGATCCCTCTCCAACATCCTACCCAGAAACACCTTCCCTTCATCCCCGCTACTACTCAACGACGTCCGCAACTCTTCAATCTCATCTAACCACACCTCCATTTCTCGTTTGACAGCTTCATCTTCAAATACGTGCGGGAGGATCCAGGAGCCTGTGGGAAGAGGGACATAACCAAAACAGAAGAGGAGGGTGACGCCTAGTCCCCAGATATCGGAGACGTAGGATTTATGGCGGTGGAGGAACTCGGGGGGTGCGTAGGGGGGTGTTCCGGAGGGTGTCCAGCCGTTTTGGGGGAGAGTGGATGGGGAGGTGAGGGCAGCGCCAAAGTCGATTAGGACTGCGTGGGGTGGTTGGTGGGTACCTTGATGAGATGAAGCATGGGGAGAGGGAGAGAAGAAGAAGATTATGTTGTCTGCTTTGACGTCGTCGTGGATTATATTGCAATTTTGGTGGAGGTGGGATAGGGCTGATGCGATTTGTGACCAGATTGCGCGGGCTTCTGAGGGGAGAAGGGTGCAGTGGGATGTTTGCGGGTTGATGTATTTTTCTAGGCTGAGGCCTGGTTCGTGGCGGAGAGTTATTGTTGGTGGGGAGGGGGAGGAGTGGAGGATTTGGGATATGTTTGGCTGTTGGGTGTGTAAGTTGGGATGGAAGTGAGGTCAGATATGAGACACGAGATTGGGGTTTGAGGGGGGAGGGAAGGGGAGGGAAAGGCAGGTACGTACGTGACCTCTGGCGAGGTTGAGAGCTTCCACTTCTTTGCGCCAGCGGTGCAGGGTTCTTGGGTTTTCGGGGAAGGTGAACTTTTTGAGGACTGCTGGGAGGCTGTTGTATATTGTGGGTTCGATTACGGAGTGGTATGTTGTTGCGATTATTTTTGAGGTTGTTGGTGTTGGCTGAGTGTTGGCTGGGTTGTCGACCTGGGGAAGTTCGCTAGCGGGTTCCATGCTTGGGGTTTCGGATGATCAAACACAAGCTCTGTCTGGATAATACAGAGGAGAGACTATGGTATGCTTGACAGAACACGGAAGCTTGGCCTGGGTACTGTTAATTGTCGAATGCCAAGGTATTTGAGGAAACCGCACCAGCGCGGCAGGTCCGAAGAATTGCCGTTTCCAGGCTCAAGTGCGGGGTGACTCACGCCGATAGTACAAGTACGGATGTCCTGCGCGGCATATCCACCCGGGCCGCTGTGGGGTACCCGTGTCCGCCGTTTTCGGGGCAATTTCGGATGAAGCGACGCTCTACAGGTAGTAGGTCCGGGTAGAAAGACAACGTCATCCTGTGGCGCATCGATACATTAGGCTTGCTCTCGGTGACAACACATGAGATTCAGACTACGTAGGCATGGGCAAGTACATTCACATCATGCAGGCTGGGGAGAAAACGGCTTAGGTCCGCTGCCCAACCTCATCGGTATCTTGTCCAGATTCTCAGTGGACAGTAGTTCTGAGGCAACCGGGAAGAACTTTCAATTCACGGGCTCACTTGTAGTCAAGGTGCGAATTCAATGAAAATCTGAGTGGCAGGACAAGGCATACTTGGTACGTACTCTGGGCCACCACCACCACCCTGCCGGTAGGCAATTGGCGAACCAACTTGAGGAGTGTCCAAACCAACCGGGCAAACAGCAGACGTTCCTCAACCAATGACCGTAACACAGCCTCATAAACTCCAGGACCATAATCTCTCCGACTTCCCCTCATTTCTTGCCGTTGCATGCTTGCGCCGTTCTAATTTTATCAACAGTTCTCCCTCTCCTCAGTGTGCTCCACGCCCCCGTCAATTTTGCGGACTCTGAGCTATTTTTGGCACAAAAACATCAGTTGCGATGGCTGAAGCCCTGAGCCTAGCAGCGAGTGTCATCGCTGTCGTCGATATAACCGCCAAGGTTTCCAAAGCCTCGATTAAGCTCGTCAATCTGTGGAAAGAGATCAAAAACGTCCCGGACGCCCTTCTCGAAAAGGCCGAAAGGCTCAAAGACTTCGAGGATTTTCTGCTGGAGACTGAGAGCCAGGCTGCCAATAGCCCAATCCCGCAACAAGCCTGGAATAGCGCCCTCTTGCAGAAACACATCGCTAGAACCAGGACTGTCCTAAAGGACCTTCAAGAAAATGTTGACCGACTCCATGCACAGGTTACAGATCCACGTAGGTTCAAGAGAAAGTTAGCGTCGACAAGAACTGTGCTACGCAAAGAGGATATAAGTGTTTTGGACTCCAAACTCGATGTGGCTTTGGAACTGTTCAGGCTAGCGCGAGAGCAGTATTTGACGCAAGTCATTCATCTTACGAATCGTTCTATTACATTGCTGACGGAAATCTTATTAGATCACTCATGTCCTACTCAGTGATGGTCCAGCTACAACAGGCGTCTGAACTCAAATCCATTCAGATGCTCCAGACAAAAGTTGCCATTCTGACCGAAGCTGAAGAGAGTCCGAGTAACATTGTTGCGGATGACAACGACCTGAGTGACGACGAAACAGGTGTTAGCAGATCTTTCGTCGCTACAGTTCCAGTAACTTCAAGCTTCTCTCATAAACCAACCATGATCGGTAGGCTGCGTCTCTCTTGGAGATCAAACTTTGGTTTTCAGCTGCATGCGCAACCACCAAGCTGGCTTATGGGGTCAGTATATTCCGTACTGGCTTAAAGAAGCTTATGGGGATGGCAGCTGAGTCTCAGATCCTATGAAGTTGTGGAGTGTTTGGGCAAAGAGTTGCATAACAAAATAGAACGAGACGACGTCCTTGAAGTTTTTAAACATTTGGACGATCGGAAGATAAGCCCCTTCGTTCGTAATCAGTATGGATCTACTTTACTGGAGGTATTTCATCTCTCTCTTTAATACTTCTCAAGACCAGGACTGTGACTAACACGGTTGACAGTTTGCGTTCAGCTTCGGTTCCCTAAAATTGGTTCAAGCGCTGTTAGACTGTGGCCTAGGGGCAGTCGTACTCGAAAATGCTGTCGGTACAAGGTGATTTCCTCTTCTCTTCTTCTCTTTCCAGCCCTGAAGCCATGGCCCTCTAATATTCTATAAATAGCTACTCATGGGCCTTGGAACTGTTACAATTGCCGATTTTTGATGAAGAGGATGACATCGATGATGTTTCTTCAGCCCTGGCCGAAATGTCACGTTATGGTCTGGACGATTTCTTGGAAGGCCCCGAAGCATTCGACTACAGTCTCCAATCGGGCAATGACAACACGAGTTTTCGAATTTTGTTGAATTATGCGGGCTGTCATCGGTACCAATCATTTTCTTTCGAAAAGAGGCTGCAGCATTTCAGGACACTAGTGTTTACAGGCGATCAACTGTCCTCAGAAGAGTTGCGTTTATTGCTTCCGGAGACCGAAAACCTCACCGTTGACGTTCTCGAATCTTCAAGAATGGAACACCGGTTGTCTCTCTTCCGATACTTGGCAATAGGCATGGTCTATCAGGCTATGGACAGTTCGGACGGCTTTGAACCTGAATCGGAATCTGAAATCGCGTGGTGTCGACTTCTCGAAACAATCCTTGAGCTTGACCCTGCAGGTCTTCACCATCTCGAGAAATTCCCTTATGGTCTGTACGAAAAAGGCCAGACCGCTTTCTCACAGTTGATCTCGCTGATTCCCGGTTGGGGTGGTGACCCTCACTCTTTGACAGGGGCTCGAAGGGCTTCGTGTTATCGACGACTTCACAGGGGGATTGATGCTTGGCTGGATGCCTTAGTTCTAAATCAAGAAAAGAACGAGGGCTCTATAAAGGAGGGTTTTCAGTCATTCGACAAAAATGGGGTTGCTTCAGCTCACGTCTGGACCCGCCCATTCGTCTCCATCTCATTGGTATTACTTTTGGACCATCAAGAGACGACTGGAGGTTTTGGTGGGCCGATGAGTACGAGGAGTATGCAGGCGACTTTTGGGCAATTCAGGAGAAAGAATTCGAACTGAAGATCCCGGGTAGTTGGGAAGATGAGTATGGTGTTACTAGTCGCTACTATCAAGAGTGGGATCGACTCTGGGATTGGGAGGCGGAGGAGCCCCTCCCGTTGATATGGTCTGAGTATCGCAAAGCTCAAGCGCCTATGTAGTTTTGGCATCGAGGAGAAAAATAGCACAAGACGGCGATCTACAATGTCGTCTCATGCAACAACTCAGCGTCCTCCGTCTTGCTCCTTCTGTTGAGCCACTCCAAGCTGTTGCGAAGCTCAAGGCTACCAAACCTCCCGCAAGCTGGTGCCTCTCAACGCAGTGTGATCATCAGCGAAACAGTTGCATAGAAGAGCTTATCTTGGCCTAATTAGGTATTTATGCAATGAGATTTCAGCTGTCTCCGAATTTTGTTGGTTGGGTCACGAAAACGGCCGGTTCGCATGTATGTGGTCTTCAGTGGTTACTACCCATGTCGAATCATGCAGGTTTGCCGCCGAGGCAGCAGGCCCGTTCCGCTGCATGTTTGTGACTGCGCCCGCCAGATAATTTCAGGGTATAGTTTTGGTATAACTGGTCTCCGTCGCTACCGAAATGCTTGCGCTCAAGTGCTGATCGCCCCAGACTGTTATTCTACCCGCTTCGCCCTCAACTTCTGGAAGGGGTCGCCCATCGCCAGTCATGGAGATTGCAGCAAGTAGCATCGCCTTTGTCCAAGCCGGCGTTGGCACGGGGAAGGCCATCCTTAGAGCTATTCGAATGTGGGAGCAGGTCAAGCAGCTTCCCAACGACCTCAAAGCCCGACTCAAGAGGCTCGAATCCCTCGAACCGATGCTGCGTCATATCGAGTCCGACTTTGCAAAGTACCCGGAACTACGCTTCCACCCAACCGCCCAGCAATGTCTCACCTACGCTATGGAAGTCGAGGCTACCATGAAGTCTCACGTAGAGAAACTCGAGAGCAAGATTCAGAAGCCTAGCAGCAACTTTAGACGGCGGGTCAACTCGCTAAAGATCATAACGTTGAAGAAGGAGGAAATTACCATGTTGGAGAGTGAGCTTGCTTGGGCTATGGAGTCTTTGCAACTTGCCATCACTTACTTCCATATGTAAGTTACTCCTCCCCTGTGTCTGACCTGTGCTCGACTGATCGTTATTCTGAAAAGGGCGAAGACCGAAATATCTGAGCAGCTTGTAATTCAACAGACCTCGGATCGAATTAGAGAACACAGCATAGCGTGCCAGGAAGACGTGGTGAAAAAGACGGCGCAGGCTGTCGTCAACATGATCAAGACCCAGGAGGTTGTGGAACCCAAAGTCGATGACACAGGGCCTGAAAAGATGCTTCCTGCACCACCAAAACGAATACCAAATATGTCAATTAAGTCCAAGGCATATGGGCGATACTCGTTTCAACGCTCCAGGAGTAACGACGGATGGACCGCTTCGTTACAGATACCGTGGTCTCAGTGCGTGAGAGAACTGAGATGGACAGGGTGGCAGTATTGTTTTCACTCTTATAACATCAGACCAGATTTCTCTCCAGTCTTTGAGACTGTTAAGAAAGGAGACCTAACACGGCTGATGAACCTCTTCAAGATGGGTGAAGCAACCCCATTCGACAGGAACGAGTCCGGTCATTCGCTTCTATACGTAAGCAGTCTGGGTTCTTTAATCTTGTCCGCCAATTTAGGTAATGGGCGACTCACATGAAATCAGATAGCTGCTGATCATGAAAGGCTCGAGATCTGCCAGGCCCTTATACAGCAAGGCGTACTCGCCGACGATGAACGAGAAAGCTACGGCGGGTTCGGCATCCCCATCCATCATCTCCCCTCTCAAGTGGAATTTCCTCTAATCATATTTCGGGTACCTTAAAGAACCCCCATAGATGTCATCGTAAGATCTCGAACCAATTTTGAACGGCACGATGATGCCAACCACCGAGCCATCGTCTCCCTTTTCCGCAATGCCGCCCAGACCACTCTCACACTTACTCTCGAGCGCCTCTTTACCTTCATGACGGAGTACACCTACGGCGACGAGTATATTCGAGTATACTATTCCAAATTCCTCACCGATTATCAAACGCGGTTTTCGTTCAGCGACCGCGCCGAGGCAGTCAGGCTTGCCGCTTTCATCGTCCGCGAAGATATCACGTACCTCGACCTTCTATCCTCCGACTACACCATCTCACCAAGCGACGTAGAAAAGAGCGCGGAATGCGGCTTCTCGTTGCTACATTCCGCAGCCATAGCTACCGGGATAAGACTCGCGGACGAGCTGCAATTTGACCCGCGGATCCTACGGCCGCGCACTTACACGTCCGCCTGGAGTGACGTTATTATCAAGACCGTACGGAGCTTGCCCAACACAATGGATTTGTGTCACATCGAGACTGTCGTCCCGTGGGACTGGTTCGTTGTACCTGTCTGGAAAGCTACGCCCTTGATATCTCTTCTCGGTGGCGCCTTGTGCCGACTATCGCCCCACTTACCTTTGGAAGACTGGGACGATGTCTTCCAAGCAGTGCTCAAACAGTGGCTCCGAGACCTGGTCTCTGCGGGCGTTGATCTACTCACGTATGGAGAGCAAGAATCTGAGACAGTGAGATTCACACACCCTGAAGTAAAGGGCGCTTTTGACAGCGATGCCATCAATCTTTCCCGCAAAGTGGTCAGGAACCCGCTACAAGCGTGTAGTAGGCCTGGGTGGATGACGAAGGCGGAAAGTGCCTTTGATAGGAGTGATCGATACTGGACACCAGTGCGAATTATCAGTCTCGACTACGGACCAGATGTGGATGATTGGAGGGTTCACTGGATCATTGAGATCGAGGCCTTTGCTGGCGAGTTTTGGAGGGCTGTGGAGTCGCCTCGCGTCGTTATGCCGGGTAGTTGGATTGACTGAAGAGATCCAACGCGATCTGAACGCACCAACTAGCCACTTTCGATACTCACATTGATACTCCAACATGCCTTCTCAAAGCTTGATGTCAGGACGGTCGGGTAGCACAATCACTTTCATAGCCGCGAGATTTCCGGGCGAAAAGGCCCACAGTCGCGGCAGCCGGCCGGGACTTGCTCGGCCCCACCACGACACCCCCACTAAGATGCGCAGGCGGGCAGGAGCTCACCCCGCGTCTTCGTCATCCTCGTGCACCCCAAGGTTCCAAGCTCCCAAGTCGTCCCAGTGCGGGGCACATCGGGTCACTTCAACATCTCCTAGCTTCAGCCTTACCCAAAGACATAAGCTTTGGCATCACTCATCACGCCTGCCTCTCATCCGTCTCGATCTCTACTCTAATTCTCTCATACCCTGCTAGCCATAGCAGCTTATCTGAAGCCATGGCGTCCGGAGACACCCGCCCACCGGGCAAACAGGGAGAATGGTACCTGGGCGACCCCTCAGAACTCAGGGAACAGCTCGATGACTTTCTCTCCGATGTGCCCGATCAGATTGAGGACAATGGCCTGCCGGTACCTGGTGCTCGAGTTATCATTGCTCCGTGAGTCTTACCTCCCGTTCATCTCCATCCAACAGTGACTACAACCTATGGGGACATCTCAACTAAACTGCAATGGCATTGTAGCCATGCCGGCTACACATACTCAGGTGCTACGGCAGCCTGGGCCTACAAGGCTCTCGATCTCAGCAAAGCCAAGCGCGTGTTCCTCCTCGGGCCCTCACATACGTTCTACCTAGCAGGCTGCGCCGTCAGCGAATATCAGAACTACGGAACACCATGGGGAGATCTCAAGGTGGACGAGAAAGTCACAGCCCGCCTTCTCGACGAGTTCGAAATGCCCGGGATCCCGAGATCCAACGATAAAAAGGAGCACTCGCTAGAAATGCATCTGCCGTACCTCTGGATCCGGCTGGAGCAGACATTCGGTTCACCCGAGAACTTCCCGCCCGTCGTACCGATCCTGATCGGCGATAACAACAAGGCCGAGGAGAAGGAAGTAGGCAAGTGGCTCGCCGAGTATATCAAGGACCCAGAAAATGCGTTCATTGTCAGCTCCGATTTCTGTCACTGGGGTGGACACTTTGACTACACAATCTACTGCCCAGATGGGACTCTCGATAGTAGGGAAAGGCTCTACGAGTATGGCCCCAAGCCTGACGGGCTGCCCATCCACGAGACAATCAAGATGGTGGATGACCTGGCTATCGAGGCCATCAAGACGGGAAAGCACAGCAGTTTCTACGACAACCTCAAGCAGACCAAGAACACGGTGTGCGGAAGACACCCGATCGGAGTGACAATGGCGGCGCTCGAGGAGCTCGGCGACCATCGGTTCACGTTCATCCAGTACCAGCGTAGCACCTTGGTGACACGCCCGAGGGACTCCAGTGTGAGCTATGTTTCCGCCTACGCAGTCGTATGAAAGCAGAAAGGAATTCACAGCGTTCGTAATGAAGGGAGGATAAGGAAAGCGGAGGAGACATTTTCTGTATCAATTGCATGGCAGCCGGGCGAAGGCTGGGAGAGTTCGGGCGTGACAAGAGGAGTTTTGATGGCTTAGACACGAGTTTCACATCTTTTCCCAAAGCAGAGGGAAAGATACTAAGCAAAGAAGCTTCTTCAGCTTCTGGTAGCTCTAGAATGGAGATCATTGACGACACCGTCCCAAGTGCCGGAGGTCAAAGACACGAGCCAAGAAGCAGGTGACCAGATGGCTTCAATGCTGGATGAGTAATGCTCGGCGGAGGGGGAACAACACAGCAGTATGCATAAATCCTCAAGGTCTGATGTTGCTGACGAGCGAGCCACGACTTAACGGGCCTGTTGCGAACGAAAGCATGAATGTTAAGCGGACCGGAAGGGAGGGCCGCCGTTTGTCTCGTCACCCCTTCTCCTCCCCCCCCCCCCGCCCGATTCGGGATGATGTAGATGCGGATACTGAGGAATCCAGCTAGAGAGAGAGAGAGAGAGGGTCACTCCTGGAGCCGTTCGGTAGCACAGCCCTACGGTCTTCCTGGAACCGGCTGGCGGTGCGGCGCTAAGGGAGGCAGAGGGCGGTGGTTGTGGGTGTGGGTGCGGTGTCAGCTTCCGCCCAAAGCGGAACGCATTGCGGACTTTTTTGGGTAGCCTGTTTTCACCAGTGCCAACTCAGCGCTCTTCAGACTATGGAGTTGCTGCAAGAATGTGAAGGGCTAAAAGCTTGTTGTTTAACGTGAGGGGGTTTTTATTCCAAGCTGTCCTTCGGCAAGGTTGCCGAGTGAAATCCAGATTCTCTGGCATCTCGAACATGAACCCCGCGCGACATGGCAGTTGCTTGTGAAGCCAAGAAATGTCCTGGAGGGGGCATTGACTTTTTGACTTTCGATATTCTGAGCGGCCCGTGATGGAGGTGAGGGGGATATTCCCCGTTGATGACGGCGAGGAGAGTTTACTTGCAGAAGCCAGACAAGCCAGATCTCGACTAGTCCAAGTCTTTGCTGGCCCGGTGGGTGATCAACCGAGAGGCTCCAAGGGAGGACGAAGGACGGTCATCCTGGGGCTGAAGGCGCTGTAGAATGCGGATTGGTTTAGAAGAATGAGCCGGCGGCGGGATGGCTTACGGACCACGGAGGAGAAGGCTGTGTTGATGGGTTGCCGAAAAGTGTAAAGCTAGACTGTTCTTTTGTGAGGGTTCCTATAGCTGGGTTCCTTGGCGAGCCGAGTGAGGCTTGTTATTCCCCTATTCTCTCAATCTATATTTCATGGATATCTTGTCTCTGTGTGAGGCGGTGGATGGGGCCTTGGCACTTTGTGAAGATGTTCTTGCTGAAATTCTCCATAGTAAGCCGTTACGGTTAGGCAGCTACTCATCGATTGCTAGTCTTCCTTTGGAGGAATGGAAGGCTTTGAGAGAGCGGATTGTTAGGATGACGCTGCTGGCCCGGGTAGGTAAGCTGAACTTGCCCAGCCTGCTGATAGCCTGATGGCGAGCTTACGGCTTGCATGGAGCCGAGTCTAATTGGGGCGAAGGAAGATGAGGTTTTGGCCGGGGCTGGGATGGTTGAGGGGAGCTTTGGGTTGAGTGAGTGTTCCTGACACGCCGCAGATCCGCAAGCAAAAAAAGAGAGCAGCAGCCCGAGGCAGTCCGAAGCTCGTTTTCTTCTCCCTCGCTAGGCGAGACTAAGAGCTCAGCCGTAGACAAGAAGAGGGAGAGGGAGGGGAAAGAGGCTTGCGGTTGCATGTGTTAGTTTCGCGCTTCCGAGACCGTACGCTGAGAAGCGAGCGAGCGGGGTGTGTTGAAAGTGGCCGGAAGGATCGATATTTCCTACAGTTGATGGGCATGGGATGATTGGAGGCTGTATGGATTGGTTGTTTAAGAGGCTGAATTCCCCGTTTTCCGGTCGCGGTCGTGGTCGTGAACTCTTCTTTGCAATTTTCCAATTCCATTGCTTGGTGTTGCTTGTTTTTCGTACTTACGGAGGCGCATCGACCTCACAGGCCTTGCACCAAAAGTACCTAAACACCACTAAACTCGATCATCGGCGTCATTCTCCGACTAGCCACAGACTCAATTGCCACGACAGACTTTTGTCTCTTGTCTGTGACCCCAGCGACAGGTTCACAACGGCTGCTGCGGAATTGATCGACGTTGCTATTGTTGCTCCAGCAGGTTTATTCGACTGCAACCCACAAGAAATCCCGTGTTTGGACTCGGAGCCAGAAAAAAAGCGGGAAAACGAGAAACGGGAAGACGGCAGCGAAAGAAACACGAGGTGGAGAGATCTGGATCGCCGAACGCTTGATTGGCGGTCTCTGGAGGGCATTTCGCAACTCTCTCTCTCTCTCTCTCTGCAACCTCACAGCTCACACGCCACACGAACGACGAAGAGTAGCGACAGTGACAGTCAGCTACAGAAGCTAAGCCTGCCGCGCTACCTATCTGCTTCGGCTGCTTCTATTCTTACCACCCAACGAAACGCTATCGAATTGGGTGCAGTTGAAACCACTGCCACCACCACCAAGAGAAAGAGAAGACAGAAGACAATTCCCGTCGTCAAACATCCCTGTCGACCTTGCGCCTTCGACACACTCCATCATAATCGCCTCTCTGCGGTCGTCACAAGCCACCAGGACGAGGCCCGCCGCATCATCGGAGGAGGCAGCCACCTTCACCAATTCAAGGTTAACCTTTTTTGGGGAGTCTTGACATCGGCACGAACGGACAGTCAGCGACACTTTGGAAGCATAAGGGAGCAAGTTGCAAGTTTGAAGCCAAAACCAGAATAAGACGGGTGGAAAGAAAAAAAAGGAGGTATTGCTTCAGTCAGCAGCAGCACCGACCGGCCAGCGAACACTTGATCGAAGCATCCATCGAGCAATACCACTAACATCAGACAATCTTGGAGGGACAAGAGACAGAAAGTTGCATTAATTTTAGGAGCCGGCATTGGGCCATCTCCCGCCAGCGCCTCAAGTTTATTCGCCTCCATTATCGCCCGCCGCTTGTTACAGTTACAGGCACCCGAAAAGAGGCAAAAGTCCAAGCTTCAGGGTCCAGTCCTCGACGCTCCTCGACCAATCACCTGCCGCCGACCGCATCCGCCTGAGTCGAGACAGCCAGACTCACTCACATTCTCACACACATTCAAGGCAGTCTCACACAGCCTGAACACAGCGTTTTTTTTTTTTTCAAGTTTTCTCACCTCACCAGTCACCACGGCCAACAGCGGGTGAGAGTGACAGACAACGTTGCTGCCCCCCCTTTCCCTCGCGTTGCATCGTCGGCCCCTGCCTTCCAATTGGGACCTTTTCGTCGCAAGCAGGTACCTCGCCAAGCCCGCCCATCCACGAATACACTCACACTCAAATCTCACTCTCACTCTCATCACTCACTCATTCTTCAAGAAGAAAGTGTGTATTGTAACTTACTCATCCGACACTGAGACGACGACGACCGTTGACGAACGACGACCACAACATAATTTCACAGACACACACTCCAACCCAGTCGAGGAAAACACAAAAAAAAAAAAAGAAAAGAAAAGGGAACGGCCCTTTCGTCAACCCACAATCATCTCTCCTACTGGAGCCAGAAAGCTACCTAAACGGCGATCGTTCCGCAAGCCAAGGGCACCCCAAGCACCACGCCCCCGTCCCGAACAGACAATTCGAATTTCTGCTACAAAGAAGCGCTTCAAGCCACACGCTTGACGCCCACGTTCCTGCGTCCAAGGCCCTGTGGAATTGTGGATTGTGGCCCATTCGCCTCGTCTCGCTTCATCCCCCCCCCCCCTTCATCCTCACGTCCACACTCAATCACTCATCCCCCAGTCCTTGCTGCTACCCTGGCACGTCTGGTAAACTGATCCTCCTTTGCTGCTGCTCAGTCGACCATTGACCCAGAAAAAACGAGCCTGAGACTTCTGTCGTCCAAGCCTGAGAGAGACTCTGTGTGAAAGTCGCACCTGGACCTGGACTGAGCTTTGGGCTTGGGTACGAAGTACATCTTTCCAATCCTCCGTCTCGCCCACACCGTCACTTTCGACGCTACAACCACAACGCCAATTCATCTCATCCGCCGCCCCCCTTCTTCTCTTCGCCCTTTCTACCCGTACTCAACTTGCTTCTTTTTCTGCCACAATCAACAAAACTTCAAATCAAAAGGCCATCCACATCTTCCTTCCTACCAAACCACCGCGCGCGAAGACGACGTTCATCCAACAAAGCAATATCGCAATAATTGCATCTCGCCCCTGAGCGTCTACCAACTTCGCATCATCGTCGCGCAAGGAAGAAGCCTTCGCGCTTCGCAGAAGCAACATGAGTGTCAGTGTTTCACCCCAACCCTCGCACTTCCGGTGTTTCGCCCGCCCGTCCTCGCCTTGTTCTACCCTCACTCTGCACTCTGCCCTGCCCTACCAACGTTGCATTCCGTCCTGTCGTCCTCTTGTCAATCGCACGTTGCTGCTGCCCTTTCCCTTCTCGAAGTCGAGAAAGTCCACCCGTTCCCGATCCCGTTCCCGTCGCGTTGTTCACACTCTTCGCAACGCCGTAACGCAAACTTTGACTTCCTGCGATCACCAACCTTCTTTGCACATCATCATACTTGCTTCAGCCTGGTTGCGTTGCATTTGCCCATTCTACTTGTCCTTCCTTGTTTACGATTGACGCCTTTTTCTGCGTTCCACCCTGCCTACCTCTCCTTACCTAATTGACCCGATCGTCCTTCCTGCCACCGATACCCGTCGAAGTAAACTAACATTATGGCGCAGTACGGGTATGTTTCTCTCTCCCATGGAGCCGACGGGACACACGACGACGAGTACGACCTCTCCGAACGCGGAATACTGACAGACGAGCATAGATACGGTGGTCGTCAAAACCCCTTTGACCAGCGGGACGATGGTCCCGGTGGAGGATACGGAGGAGGAGCTCCTGCCAGACCTCCTCAGCAGGGCTTCGGTTCGGGGCCTTCCCCCTACGGCGGCGGTGGAAACAGAGGATACAATCAGGGGCCAGCTATGGGTAGGGACCATTATGGTACGACCTGACCGCGACGGTCGTACGCGCTCTTTTGCTGACATTTGTCTGTCCGATCAGGCGCCAACGTCGAGATGGAATCCCTCGCCCAGAACGCCAGCGGCTTCGGCCAGTCATCGGATCCTAACGCCATCCTGAACGAGTGCCGATCCATCGACCAAGGAATTGACGAGATTGAGGCCAACCTGAACCAGCTGCGCATGCTGCAGGAGCGTACCCTGACCGATGCCGACACATCAGCAAACTCGTCGACGGTCCGCCAACTCGATGCCCTCTCTTCCGAGACGATGACCCTGTACCGCGGCCTTACCGACCGCGTGCGCCAAGTCAAGTCCTCGCCCGACGGCCAGTCGGCCAGAAACTCGCCGCAGGTCGGCCGTATCGATCGCCGCCTGAAGGGGGCGATCCAGCAGTACCAGCAGGTCGAGTCGGCTTTCCGCAAGCGCACCCAGGACCAGATGGCCCGCCAGTACCGCATTGTCCGACCCGATGCCGACGAGCGCGAGGTCCGTGAGGCGGTTGAGGATGCTGGTGCCGGTGCCCAGATCTTCCAGCAGGCCGTGATGCAGAGCGGTCGCCAGGCCCAGGCCAACGCCGTTCTCAACGCTGTGCAGGATCGCCAAGCCGCCCTCCTGAAGATCGAGCAACAGCTGAATGAGCTCGCACAGTTGTTCCAGGATATGGATACGTTGATTGTGCAGCAAGAGGCTGCTGTCACGCAGATCGAGCAGAAGGGCGAGGAGGTCGTTGAGAACCTGGACAAGGGCAACCAAGAAATTGGAACTGCAATCACCACCGCCAAAGCGACCAAGAGGAAGAAGTGGTGGTGCCTGGGTATCTGCGGTAAGTCAGCACTTGCTGTTGAGTGGCCGGAATACCTTGCTAATTGTCTGCAGTCCTCATCATCATTATCATCGCTGTCATCGTTGCCGTCTACTTCGCCATTATCAAGCCAGGCCAGGCTCCGGCTCCTGCCGCCACCGCCAAAGCGAAGCGCAACATTGGCATGCTCGAGCTGCCTGACTTCTCGAACACGGTCCCTGTCGATACTGGCGCCGCGCACCCCCAGATTCTGAAGACGACGAGCCGTATCATGCGCCGCATCGTTCAGGAGGGAGCTACCTGGGAGCCGACCGCGACTGTGCAAGACTCCGCTGTTGTCGCCCGCTTCGGCGGCAAGGTCGACATGCCTGCTGTCCGCAACTAGACGGCTCATCGTATTCCTTCCCGACTCTGTACAAAATACCCACCACACCGCCTCCACAATACCCGAGGCTTCTCTCACACCACCAGTATACCGTCCCTCCGACTTGACGTCTGGATCGATTTCTCGCCACCATTACCAATTAAGAGCTTCTCGCCGCTTTTATAGACGGACGGATTATATGGAAGGTCAACTTCATATCTCTTTTTGCTGCTGGGTAGGGGAAACCAAAGACGAAAAGCGAGAGATGAGTCCTGTGGAACCCAGGTCCCAGGAAAATTCAAAAAGGGACCACACAAGCTTATTTCGTAGGGTGTTTTTGTATACCCATAACCAGACTTTCTTTACTGTTCAACCAAAACTATACGTGCTTCCCCTTTTTTTCTGTGTTGAGTCTTGGATTCGAAAGTTTTTTTCAGTTGGTTTTTTTTTTTTTTTTTTTTTTTTTTCGAGAAGAGGAAAAAACTTATCGAACACTTGTGCGGGCGTTTTCTAACTCAGCTTTTGCCTGCGACTCTGATCGTTGTGTGCCCTTTTTATATTTTATTTGTTGCATCAGAGGCGTTAGCATGAGTGGTTTGTAAATATAGTCAACTTTTAACTCAACGCCCTTAATATCTGAACGACTCTTGACTAGGTGATGTCTTTGTGTGATGTGCATGAAACACTAATGAGATTTGTCTGAGGATTTGATTGTTAGTGAGGCCACCTGGTTATGCGATTTATGTCGAGTATGTTGGCGAAGCCCTTCCTGAGCCATCGCACCGAGTTGTGCGTAGCGTTCAAGTTTGATTATTACTAGGACTTGTTAGTATTTCCACTACTATTTTAAGACTCTATCGTACATCTGTGCTTGTCGGTATGAAGCCGTTCATGACCACGATACTAAACTACCTCATATAGTAGACCAGAGAATGAGCTTAGGATGTTCCGGATCTGAAACTGGCTTGTCATTGTTATGTTTCCGGATTTGATAATCAGAATTGAGAATAACGGAACGAATGGGCCGCTTTGTCTGATGAGTTGTAGAATTCATCATCACAGCACCCTTACCGCTTTCCAAGTTTCCATAGAGGACCGATGATGGGTAGCGGCCAAGGCTAGGAGGTGAGATTGTCTCCATCTTGGCATCTCATACACATCTGTACTTTCTCTGGATATGGCTTCGATTTTGTGGTTCTTTTACAAATTACATTCTTTCCGTCAGGTAGACACTCGGCGGTGTAAGTCCTCCCTTGACCGTTCTGTCTTGTATCATCACGGGGCATAGGCTCATAAATTGCTTACGGTAAAAGCTCTTATGCGGGCTAATCGCGAGTTGGAAAGATTGGAACCTTGGTATCCTGTTTCCTAGCTGATGAGTATCTGGTTGCCACAACATTATGTCCATCTCTGTCCCGAACCGTAAAGTGAGTGCTTTATGAAACGGTGACTCAGTAGCGAATAAAATTTTTGAACCTATTCCCCAGCCTTTTATCTTTCACCGACAGCAAGCCTTCTTGAAACCTTCCAGTGCTGGAGAGGGAGGCCGAGGGCATCTTATGTACAATACTGTTGAGACAGACCACACTCACAAGCTTCAACGAGCCAGTCTCCTTCCACTTTGAAAGGTTCCAACTTACACACGCCCATCCTTACCAGATATTGATCTCATTAATCACTTAATTACAGAACAAAACACAAAGCTCAGAAAAAAATGAAAATAAAAAGGTAAAACGAAACTCCCACCGAAAACCGTTCGTTTAACACCGCTCGGTAAAGCTCTTAAATTCGACGTCCTCGAATAGAGTTAAGAGGAAGTGGAGGTCGGCGGCCGGGTGGGATAGTTTGAAAACCTCTCTCGCTGACTGGTCAACAGTCGAATTTGCCATTTTTTTGGCTGGCCCGTGCTTAATCATCTTTGAGGGTAACGGTAGCTAGCGCAAGACTTAGTTAGCCAGCATGTCGTGTGTTGTTCCTCCAAGGTAATATCACGTATTACACCGCAGAGTCAGTATTCGTAATCTGTATTCTGTAAAGTAAGGCCTTCATGCCCTGCCACCTTTGATACCGCGCGGTTATTATAATGTTGTACTAAGGGCTTCTACTGGCTAAAGTCCCTTTGAGTTCAGGGGGTAAGTACGGCTTGGTTCCAGTACAATTGAACAAGTCAGATAGATGCCAGCTACGTAATGGCGGTTCTCATGATGTGTCGTACAATCCACGGACCACGGAACATTCAAAGATATTGCCATTGTCTATGTCTTAGATCCAGTCTCTCCAAAGCGCCTTTCCACACAGTCCTCGTTAGTACTGTGGTGGGAAGGCCATATTTACCGAAAAGATATCCGTGATATCTCCATATCAGTCGTTGACTACGCAGTACCTGTACGACTCAACCTTGAACATTGACACTTTCCTTAGGCCCACAATTGCACTTTCTTCGCCGTTGCGTCACGCGCGCGCGGATGCTTCGCCACGACTTGTAAGTTCTAAACCTCTTAGGCTCTCTCCTCCCTTGGGAGAGACTCGGAGACCAAGAAAACTGCACTGTAATTAGTGAGATGACGAGCATTGACAACAATCTAGCGGCAAGACCCGTGATTTTGGAAGCCACAGTTAATCAATTTTGCTGTACCGGCCTGCCTTCTTAGATGTGCCAAGCCCGGACCGCGAGGTTTATGGCTGAGTCTCTGCTCATGTTGCTAGGGTTGGGCAATAGGGAGTACGATGTACGCTCACGCTAGAGGCATCTTGTCTCTGGGACTATTTAGATTTCAAAGCAAGGCAATCATTCTTGGGAAGATTACAATCTGCTTACAAACTTGACAACTTGCCAAGAGTTGAAGCTATCGTGACTTGGAAGCTTGCAAGTTGCAAAAAAGGCATCCAAATTATAAGCTCTTTGATTTCCGCGTCTCGAGAGTTCATTCCCTCAGACCAAACATCTTCACCATCAGTTTATAGTTCATCTCATCATCAAAGCTCCTTCTCTTCGTCCTCTTAAACTCAACAACTCAACCCCCAAATCCCACCGCCCAACATGCTCTTCACAAAGCTCTCCGCCCTCGCAGCCCTCCAGCTCCTCTCCCTCCCCACAGCCAACGCCCAAACCAACAACAACGCCTCCGCCCCGGGCTCGACGACGACGACCACCGTCCCATCCTACACCTGCAACCCGGGCTACCCCGTCTCCCCGGCCGAGCAATCCATCATCTTTACAAACTTCCTCCGCAAGTTCTACCTCGAAAAGGACGTCTACCGCGTGGGGAGGGAACACATCCTCCTCGACGCGATCAATCACAACCCCAACGTCAACGGCGACCGCGACGCGAGTCTGGCCTGGGTTGCGCCGCTCATTGCCGAGTGGAACGTTACGATTACCAACACTGGGTTGGCGGATAACGTCGGGTGGAGCCATGTCAAGGTGGAGGGCCCGGGGATGGGGCGGTATACTGTTGCTGTTGATATTTGGCGGTTCGAGGGGAGTTGTATTGCTGAGCACTGGGATGCGTTGCAGGTTGCGCCGCCTGCGAATAGGACGAACCCTTTGGAGTTGATCTGAAGTGGCCATTCCGTGGCTGAGGACCGAAGACTGGCTAGACTGGACTGTACCTGTGGCGAGAGGGAAATCAAATGGCTTGTAATTGGGAAGATCGATATGCATATACGGACGCCTACACCTCCTGTGACCGACCCCTCAACACCACCAGTCTGGCAATCGCAAACGCCCTCTAACCGCCACAAAGCGCTCTCACAGTCCAACTTTATTTAAAAGTCGGATCTCAACCCATCAGGGAAGCTCTCCAACACCAATAATCGAGGCAGTTAACCGGCTAGCAAAGGGTGCGTAGGCAATAGCGCACTCGATCACTATTTTAACAGATCAGGTACGCACACTTCAGGATACCAATGTGGCGCTTACTAAGCGGCGGAGGGCGAATAAAAAGGCATACACAGCTTAGAGGAGCACTTAGTATAGAGGAATCCCAGGTTATTTTAAAAGAAAAGAGTAAAGGGAAACGCCCAGCGCCTCAAGAAGGTAAAGAAGGTAGTCTATCGAAGAAGGGTCGGTCGGCTCAAAGGCGTTGCGGTGTATACGGCAAGACAGGCCATAATGCGCGAACGTGTTCTAAAGATGGAGAATCGTCTAGTAATTCAGATGCCGATGAAAGCTAATTGAATTTTTACGTTCTGGTTATATAAACTTATAAGATATTTACGATGTCGGGAAAAGTGCGCGGCTGACTGATATGCGCGGCTGACTGGTAAAGTACGTTAAATATATTTATACCGAGATTCGTCGAAATCCTCTTTAGAGCTGGTATTGTTAACGCTAGGTAGTGCCTTATAATCGATCTATATATAAGTACGTCGTTAAGTAACATTATAAGGTTCGTCCGAATTATATAGTAATTCTTCTCTTTTATTAAATATATAAGAGCTAGAACTAAAGCCTAGTTCCTAGTTATCCATTTAAAACTCGATCTTTCCGTTTTTATTTAGGGAATTGATATACCGGCGTCGCAAATTGATGCACCGGCGTCGACCTTACACCGGCGTCGCTGTTCGACCTTTTGATTGGCTCAAAAAAATATTGTTAGTGCAATCAAATTCTGCCAGATACCCACAAAGTATCTCAACCCTTTTTGTTCCTTTGCTCCCTTTCCTCTAAGGTTACATCATCAAGCCTCTAAGTCTAACTTATGCTATTTGCTTACAATGGTGTTACGACCCAACATGAAGACCAGGGCGTGCCCCGCTGACGCCTAGCGGCTACGGCGCATCATATATGCAGGACGGGACGGAACATTGGGGAAACCCCAGGAACGGAAGAACTATGGTACAAGTCACGTGATGATAAGAGATATGATAAGGGATAAGGATATGTTGGATATGCGACATATCCAACCGAGTCAAGGATATGTTGGATATTCGACATATCCAACCGAGTCAAGGATATGTTGGATATTCGGCATATCCAACATATCCAGACAAAGTGGACTGTTCAGCACTGTTCAGTT